CCCCCAATCTTCTTCCCCACCTATTGAACATGATGCACCCAGTTGACGTTTATTTTAGTCGCTCTATATCCTACACGTAGGTGGAGTCAGTGTCTCACCTTGTCGCTGGCAAACACTTGCTCTAATGTGTCCCAGTCGTTGGTACCAGGCACATCATTGTGGTCCAGGACCTCCACCACCCCAGGCATGTCCAGGGCGGGGCCAAGGTCTACCCTGACAAGACGTGCGTGGGATCGCTTGCTGGTCACCAGGCCCATGAAGAGCTCACCTGTAGGTTGAAAGGTCACGGGTGTACAACTCATCCTGTAACAGAATGCCCACTCGTGATGGGATCACAGTGTTTTCGCATCGTAGTCTACCCCCAAGAGCAGCAACATTTTAACGTACTATCAAATTGGTGAACCTAATGAAGAAATGTCTCCTACCGTATTCTTCCACCTGGTATTGAACCGTGTCTTCAAAAGTTTGTACGGACAATGAAGTATTTTTTTCTTGAAAGGGGGACTGAACTGGGATGCGTAAGATTGGGTTGGGGGGGGGGGGGTTGTTACAATAACTTTCTAAAGCTCCCATTTGGGGACCGTGAAAGTTGTCACGCTGTTATTGGTGCTTTCACTCTGTAAAATACATGTGTCAAACTCAAGGCCCGTGGGCCGCATCTGGCGACAGAAATGAACTCGTTGCTAAGAAAAGATGCCGAACACATAGCTCGGAAAAAATGGCATTAGAGAGAAAATGGCTTGATCTGTCATTAAAAAAAAACTTTTTACCGTTTAAATTCATATTGCAGTCTAAAATGGTTTATTTTCGCATTGCTCAATGAGTGCTTACCCAGTTGGGTCCGCAACCCCAAGTGTACTCTGAGTTTGTCACCCAGAGCGATTGAGTTTAACAACCCTGCTGTATAGCACCCTCACCAAATACAAACGACCAAAGGATCATAACTTTAGAAATACTGTGGAGTCCGCTTAAAACAAACACTGTAAATCCGAAATTAACTGTAAACCGAACAGGATAAAATATTTGTCCTTTCATTTGAGCGACGCTTTAAAACCGAAAAACCTGGCTGAACTGAATAAAATCTGAAAGTTAAAAAAATTCGGTTTCACTGGATTGCACTGTAATTAATCAGGGAAAACCAAACCTTCCGATACTGGCAGGTCGTCCAAGTAAATTGCTTCCCCTGTGCACTGTTTATGCGCCGCGCGGTGAACGAGCGGTTTGCCTATTGTGTCTGCCGGGAAGTGCTCCGAGTGCTCGATGCTGTAGAGTTGACAGCCATGGCTAGGTCCGCGAGTGAGCGACTCGCAGGCACTGACGTCGTCGCTTGAAAGTTGAGTCCGGTTATCGCTTGGAAGGGAAGCCATTATCACTTTCTGTGAAATGCGAAAAAGAACATAATTCAAACTAATTTCACAATGGTAATGGTATTACTGTTAGTACATTGAGTTATCTGATTTGTGGGGTTTTTTTTTGGTACTTCTTCAAATCCCAAACTCAGCTCATCTTTATTTCGTTTTTGTTCATAAAAATTCTGTTTTAAAAACAAAACAAAGAACAACAACAGCAACGACAACAATAACATCAACAATGACAACAACATAACAACAAAACAGGTTTCTCACTTTTATTCTCACCTATTTATAAAAAAATAGGTGAATTAATGGGGAGACGGATTAATTACTCATCCTCACCCAGAAAAGAGGGTGAGTTGTGCGTATAGACGGAATCATGTCCATTTGCAGCCAATAAAACAATTATCCATTCATCCATTAATCAACCCGTCCGTCCATCCATCCATCCATTCGGTTTGATTGATTGACTGAGTGACTGACAGAATGACTGACATATTTACTGACTTACTGACATACTGACTCCCTGACTGACTGACTAAATGAGTGAACGACTGACTGACTGACTCTTTCTCTCACTCACTAACACACTCACTTATATTTTGATTTAGTTATCGTTCTTCAGACAATTAGAGCAAACGCAACGAACTCACAATACAGAACAAAGCAAAAACAACAAAAAAAAAAATCCACACAAAAACCCGACAACCGACAAAAAACAAAACAACCACCCCCCCCCCAACAAAACAAAAGAAAACAAAACAATAAGCACCCTTGAAAACCCTAAGAAAACAGCACAAATACAAACAAACAAAAAGAAAGCCAAACCCCCCCATGACACATATAGTGAAGATGGTAGTGGGCGCACATATCCCGTCCTTCCTCATCTCCAGTATGAGACCCACCACCACTATCATCATCACCGCCACCACCACCACCACCGGTAACAACTACACAACCACTAAGAACAAAATAGCAAACAGACCAACATAACGACCGTTTACCTGCTTTAACCTTTGAGATACAGCCATGAAGAACCGGAAGAAGAAGCTAAGGGTCAAGGTCCTCCTGTAGGCCACCATTCCGCCAGGAGCGCCTGGTGCCAGAGGCAAGTCGCTTGACAACATCTCCGTGGAGCAGGCGATGTCAAGGACTGATTCATCCCACGTCCTGGAAAGTGAAAACTGCGCGATTAATTTATTTGTTTTTGTATCACATACCACTTTAAAGTTGCTTCCAAAGGTGAGCAATGACTTCCGTTTTGCTAAAGCCCACTTTGTGATCCAAAGATAGATAACAGGAGAAACTATAGACAATACCAGTCCTAATGCTTTCCTAAAAATCCAACAGTGTTACCTCTGTGATTTAAATAGATAGATCAATAGACTGCTAGACAGACAGACAGACAGACAGACAGACAGACAGACAGACAGACAGACAGACAGACAGACAGACAGACAGACAGACAGACAGACAGACATA